ACCAGGTACTAAATGCTCAGAAACCTGTTTGTTCTTGCAATGACAAGAGTGCTGTGAAATGAGGTATGTGTGTAATAATTAACAATTCTGACAAAGTAAGAAAGATCTCCATAGGTAGCTGAATTTAGGTCTACCTTGAGAATAGACTAGAATAGAATAATAACTTTATTGTCACTTTGAATGTACATTAATCAGCATACATTTAAATGAAATTTCGTTGCATACAGCTCTCAAGTTTGAGGTGATCAACCAGTGTTTTTTGAAATTCATGTGGATGTAAATCTTCATCTGGGACCAGAATTAGCCAAAAACATGCCTATATGGTTACAGCTAAGGTTTAAACTGAAGTATGGGGAAAACTGTAAGGATAACATATTCTACAGTTAAAGGAAAATATTTGTAGCTCAGGGTTGAAATGAGGGGTCCTCAGTGCTCGCTGAGCTTGATTGTTTTCTTGCAGACGTTTGATTAGGTAACATTAGCAGTGCTAGTTTGCTATCATTACCTAGTAATGTAATGATGAAATGTCTGTAAAAAAAGAAAACAACCACGGGCAGCGAGCATCAGGGCCCCTGAAAAAATATTCAGCTGAAAATAAACTGGTCTGCCTTAGTGCTGAGTCACATTATCAATCAGCATAACTAAGCCGCTTGCAGACAAATTTTGCAAATTGTTGCAATTAAAGTGAACAAACAAATGTGATGCTAGAAATTTTGGGAGACCAATCTTGTTACTCAGAAAATAAAAGCAAATGGGGGGGGGGGAGGCCAAAACAAAATCAAAAACATTTCCACAACTTTTCTTCTTCCTTCAGAGTAGTCCGTGTATTCTTAATGTAATGGCAAAGAACAGAAAAATTGTAGCTTTAAAAATCTTTGGCTTTTGAATTTCAGCCAACTCTTTCATGAAAAGATCTATAATCAAGAAATTTATTTAACTAACAGCTACTTGATATGTTCAGTAAAATAAACCTCTTTAACATTACTTACAGCATTTTGGATAGCTGGCCATCTCCTACAGGTAACATAACACTAAATTTTCTCCACTTGGCAGCATGTCAGACTAGATGATTTTTGAGACCTTTTCAATTCTAGGACTCTATAAGGCAGATGGGTGTCTTTTTTCATTGCATGTATTCAGTATATTATGTAGAACTGAATAACGCACATTTCTGTGAATTACTTTCCATTAGCAAAAAAGAAATGGCTCTCACCCTCCTGGCAGGTTTTAATAGAAACCTATAGATCTATTGGTATAGCAAGCGTTCTTTTTAATGTGAGGTCCTTGGTGCACTGATGATATTATCTAGTTTGGTAATAAAATGTCTGCAAAAAAACAATCAAGCTCAGGGAGAACCAAGAACTCCACCGTTCAATCGTGAGCTAAAAATATTCTCTTCCATTCTTTTTAATCTCTGCAGGTTTTATGACTTTATGTGATCACTGGTGTGTGTGTGTGTGTGTGTGTGTGTGTGTGTGTGTGTGTGTGTGTTTGGGAATATTTATTATTATTTTATTCGTCCTGGTTTAATTGATATTGTTTGTTGTACTTCATTGTTGCACTGTAAACTGGCATAGGACCTGAGTACCTGAGAGATTGTTTATTTTTTACTATTTCTGCCTGCCCAATACATTTGGCAAAGTGGGTTGCCCCCCCACCCCTTCTAATAAACACTGTCATCTCATGGGGCAAAGGAAGTATGCCTTCTATGTTGTAATCCCTGCCCTCTGGAACAATTTCCTTCCGGAGACAACACCCAAAGTATTTAAGAAGAAAAGCGCTTTAGTCTCAGGCTGAAGGTTGATGTGTTTGTGGGGGTCCTCATGTGTTTATGGGGCCCCTGGTTTGATATGATTTATTGTTTTAGGCCCAGCTACCTGTGGGGTTTAACTGTTTTATTGTTTTATATTTGTAAATAGCCTAGTCTATAAGAATGAGTGGCTGTTATAAAGCTCATTATCACAACTCATCATCAATCTGCCATTGGCAGGCATGACAGGAGTGTGAGGATATACATTTTAAAATGAACAGTTAAACACATTAGATATTCATACATAACATATTCTGTTCATAGAAGAGATATCACTAGATGTTATTACTTGTCACTGAACCAATCTTTTTTGGAGTGTGTGTGTGTTTAAGCTGCTTTCATCACACCACAGAAACAAACATTGGTTGATTGGCCCATGACCCATGCTCCTTAAAACCAAAACATATACTTAGCAAAAACTTGAAATAAATATGTTACAGATCATTAGCTCATTAATAGAAAGTACTAGCTAGCTTTGGAGATATATGGACTAAAATATTACATCATCTTACTCAGACTTAAGGGTCATTTTATCCTATTTTTGTATAAAATTTCATGATACTTGTATTTAAGCAAAATATGAATGCATTGTGTAAGCCTCTCATTTAAACACAAATTCGTTAAACATATCAACTGCACTGTTTAAAATACTTGTTTCATATCTATGGGATTAAAAAAATCTTACTGTATTAAGATCTTAAGATATATAAGGAAGCAAAATATAGAACTGTATTTCTGTATGTGTAAGTGAGTGATAACACTAATAAGGTTGCTCACATTAAGGTTATAAAGTGTTCTTTCATTTGAAGCATACCTTATTTTGTAGCACTTTTCAAGTTGCAGAATCCATTTGGCAATCCTGCTTTTTGAAATAAGATAACTCGTTGAGCTAAGACTATTTCAATTGGTACAATCTTCTGGTTCCATTAAATAACAAGTCAAGAGTATGTACAGGTGTAAAGTACAATCTGATAGTTGCAATCAGACTCTAGAAACAGGACATATGTCTCCACCACCATTTAAATTCAAATGTCCCTTTCTCCAGTTCAGGCAAAACTGGTTGGCAACCATTTTGGTAACCCATTTAGAAAGCTTCCACTTAAACATGTATGTTTCAATTTGGAGTTTGTATATAGGCATAAGGAAGATTATTCATAAAGTAAGATGATTATTTTATAATAAATGTTTTACTTCAGGGTGCAGGATAAATAGCAATAATCACAGAGTTTCCAGTACTTCAGTGGTAGCAGGTGCAATTGTATAATAATAAGCCTTTCCTATCATTCTTTTTGAGTACTGTAAAACTTGGAAAACAAAATCTGGATGACTACAACCAGGGTGGAAAGTAGAAAAAAACAGAACTGCAGGAACAAGAGTATTTTAAGGCTATGATTCTGCAAAAACAATGGCATAGATTATTTTCTAAAGAGAAAAGATTCCAGAAATAATGGGCATTTGAAGCAAATGAAATCTGGCATATTTTCCTCTCTTACTTGGGACACAAAGATAATTAAGAAAATACTATTACTGGCCCAGCTTCTGTGTGTGGAAGTAATTAAGCTTTCATAGATCTACATTAGACAAATGGAAGAATACCATTATAGGTATATTCTTAACAGCATCAAAAAAATAATTCAATAAAATATATCCGCTCACTCATTTCTTATTCCATGGGATAAACGATCAAAAGCTGTCTGTATATAAAAAATATATATGTTAGTTTGATGTATGATTGAATGTATTATAAAATCAATAATCTTTGAAAAAGTTGGTGATCTGCAGGACAATTTGTTTTATGATAAAAAGGATTTGCTTTGACCTTTTCCTCAACTTGGCACTCCTCCTAAGGTATTGGAATTTACAATGTCAGATATCTGTTGAGCACAAGACAGTGGCCATTCTATTTAGGCATTCTGGATTTTACAATTTTATCACATTTTGAATAAACCAGTTCAGATGGAGATACTATCTAACAGCTGTGGTTCAGCAGCCAGCAAATCTGAGGAAAAGCAGGACAAATTTCTGTGCTGGATTCTAAATGCCAAATAATGTTGGTTCCAACCTGATTAAGAACTGAAATCTCAAACCTATTTTTTTTCCAAACTTCTTTTAAACTTCCATAAAAAATATATGAACTTTCATAAGAGAGTCTTGCAGGTACGTTCTGGGCAAGATGAATAAAATGTAAATTGAGTTTTACTGGTTGATCCCTGGCTCATCTGCAGTTTATCAGCAGGAATCTTTTACTTCTAAACTAAGCTGCAGAAATTAAGAAGGCTTGGGGTAACCATGAGGGGATTTTTGTGGAACTGAGAGTTCAGTCTGGTTACCAAAAATAAATTCTTAGGCTCAGGATGTGCTGAAAGACACCCTGTTCTTTAATTGGTGTGTGTATGTCTGCGCTTGACTCTGGTGGGTGGGTCTTAGGGCTTTTGGTAAAAAAAATAAAGCAGATTCAAAAAGGCTGCTCTCCTTAGTTCTAAATGGCTTGTAAGCCACTTACCTGGCATTGAACATGAGGTCAGTACAAGCCTAACATTTATTACATTTCTTCCTATAGCAGGAACTGATAGAAAATGTCTGAGAACAATGAAGATTTTTCTGCCTCTACGTGATTTTCCCAGGATAAATCCCGTTTGACTGAAGGCTTCTCAGAATAAAATTTGGAAGCTTCTGTATAAAACAACTTTAACAGACTTCTCTGGGGAAGAACAGAATCCTTCCAATGAAAGGAACAACACATTTTTGCACGATACCAAGAGGCCATTGATTTGTTTGGAAGAGCCCCTATATTCCTGAAAACTTGGCTAATTGATTAGTTTTAGCATTATTTTATCAGTTTCACTGGAGCTCAAGGAGGTTTTATCCGTAGATGCTACAAGACTCACACAGTGAATTCCTTTTCTTTTTCCTAGTAGCCTGAAGTAAACCCGGTTAAATTTAACCTTAATTCCCAGGAAAGCTAAACCCATCTATAAGTTGTGTTGGTATACAGGCCCCTAGAAGTTAGCGATCTGGTTTTAAAAACCACCTGGTTGTTAAACCAAGCTTACCCCTTGCCAAATGAGATGCGTAATGAGTTGGGATCTCCAATGTGGCAAACTGATGCTGGCAGAAGAAGACACAGAGAAGACCGGATGGGACAGAGGTTACACCACTGATGGGGGAAATATTAATCACTCCATCCTACCCTGAAGGCTCCCTGATTGAGTCTGCTGTGTACCTGCTCTGCTCCTCCAGGCTTCGGTTCTCAGCTGTTCGCCACTCCGGCATGGTGCTTGCACACAGCACCACCATGGAGACGATGACGAACAGGATGGAAATGCTGGCCAGGATTTGGGCGGCCACCGACGAGGTGGGCTCCTCGAAAGTTCTCCTCATCCTTTCCAGCCATTTCTTCTCGCCGGCGCCAGGTGGGGCCACAGCATCGTCGCTCCCTTGGTCCTTGGGCGGCTCGGGCTGGCCGCTGCTTTTGCTACTGCCGCTCCCGCCTCCGGAGGGCTCTGTCCGGATGTCTTCCGCCGAATAGAAGGTATAGGTATCGGACATGCGGTCGTCCAGCCGGCGCTGGCAGCAATAGTCCAGGTGGGATCCCTCCAGGCCCCAGTAGATCATCTCGTTGTAGAAGGAGAGTTCACACATGTGGGGCACGAAGCGCAGGTGGCCGTAGCGCACGTAGAGCAGGATAAACCCGAAGGCTTCGGAGTGCCGGTCGAAGAAGTACTCGTTCCGCTCGCGGTCGTAGTCGTCGCACACCTCGAGTACGTCTTGGTCCGACCGGCAGCCGTGCAGGCGGCTCACCCGCCGGAGGGGAAAGTCCTTCAGCGCCTCCCGAGCGAAAGAGTAGCGGGTGCCCCCCACGTTCAACACCACCACCGGCGGGCCACCCCGGCCAAAGGTCATGGCTTGGGGGGGGACAGAAGTAGAAGAGGGGCTCGAGGGAGGAAAACTGCCTTCAGCCTACGAGGAGTGGGGCCGGGAAGGGCGGGTACGGCTGTCCCGCCCGGCTTCTCTTCGGGCAGGCGGCCGCTCTGTGGATTCTCTCGGTCCCTTCACACACACCCTTACCCCTTCCTATCACCCCCACCCACTTTCGCCGTCCACGAGGCGGGAACAGCGGCTCTGCTGTCCCGGCAAGGCGTCGAGCGCGCGGCGGTGCGCCTCCTCGAACAACCCAATGTCTTGGCGACGCTGCTAGCTTCAGCGAGGGGTGGCGGCGGGCGCCGCGTTGCGCCCGGAGCACGCGGCTGCCGAAGTGCCCGGGGCAGCTTGTACAGAAGCGCTGCCGAAGCCGTCTCCGCCGCCGCCTCCTCCGAGCCAAACCCGACTGGCGGCGGAGGGCATGGCTGAAGGAGCCGAGGGAAACTCCTGCGAAGTTGGATCGGTTTCTGGGCTCCTCCGCTGAGCGCAACCTTGCTTAGCGCCGCGCAGCACCGGCTCTGACAGCGCCGCTCTCAGGCTGAGACGCCCGGCGGCTTTCGGAGCGGAGACGGAGGCGGTGGGCAAGAGACACGCCTCTTTCGTCGCTGCCTCCCTCCCGCCCTTCCTCCGTTTCCCAGCACCGGAGTTGCCTCTCTCCGACTGTGCTGGGAGGGGAGTAGAAGCGCCTGAAAGATTTCCCTGGGCTTTTCACTCATCATCAATCACACGCCTTGCTGACAGTCACTTTTTCTTTCCATCAGCGGATTCCCAGTCTTGCTCCCCAGTGTTTTCCTTCCTTTATGCCCTCTTCAACATTCTTTGGTCTCCCATTTGATAATGTTTCATTCGCATTGATTAAAAAGTTCTGATTTCTTTCCCAGACCAGCATGTTAACGAAAGAATTTGACTGAAAGGGGAAGAAAACTTTGAATTGGTACACCCCCACATTTCCCCCCCCCCTTATTATTTTATTTCGCCTGGTCTACCACATTTATATCAATTTAACTGATTATAAAGCAGTTTTATCCTTCTACACACACACATACAGAGAGAGAGAGAGAGAGAGAGAGAGAGAGAGAGAGAGAGAGAGAGAGAGAAGAGAGAGAAGAGAGAGAGGAATGAATAATAGGAGGTGAAGTCTATCTGGAGATCAACTGCTTGGAGGAAACTGACTTGCAGTTGCTGTTGATTCTTTTAGAAGCGGTGCCTTGATTATGTGTAAAGCTTCTGGAGGGGAAAAATGGGAGGAAGGGAATAATAAATAAAATTCTAATTTTCTTGTAGTGCAGAGTTGGACAAAAAGCCCTCAGCAAATGTAGCCATTACATTCATCTAACACATGCTTTGCAAACTAGGGAAGCAGAAATATTTGATCACTATCTTTCTTCATGTTTATTTAAAGTTTCTTGGAATCAGAGGACATATGTATCATGTGTGCTTCTATATAACTATTACTGATACGCATCCTTTGAAGCTCCTTATTATTATAAGATCCTTCCCTCCCCACATAGAGCCAAGGTGGCGCAGTGGTTAAATGCAGCACTGCAGGCTACTGCTAGATCAGCAGGTCA